ATTTCCAGTTCCTATCTGTACCAGTGTACATTCTCTGGTCTAGCCAGACTTGAATTGGGATCATGATAGTGGGGGGAGGAAGCATTTAGGAACTAGAGGAAAGTTGTATTTTTCACTGTTGCTACATCATACCCTGCTACTCTTGTTTTCATTAAATCATTGTTCTACATATAGCTATCAGAGAACTTTACCCAATTCAACTTCTTCCAAAAATATTACCGTGGACAGCAGCTGTAACCATTAATTGTGCAATCCTCCCCTTGATGCAATTTTCCCATCTCTAAACCAGAATTTATCTATAAGCAATAGCCCAACTGCTCCCCCTCCCTCCCATTTTGGTTGCCACTAAGAAAGTGTGGTATTTATACTCTTGTCTTTTATCTGAGGTCATGTATCGTATGCCCTTTTGTGATTGACGTACTTCACTCGGCAGAATGTCTTCTAGCTCTGTCCTTACTGTAGCAGGTATGAAGACTTCATTTCTCCTACTTGGCAGAATAGTATTCCATTAGGTGCATGCACTGTATTTTGCTTATCCATTTATCTGCTGGTGGACATTTAGGCTTTCCCCACGTTTTTTGGCTGTTGCGTGCTGTGCTGCCATGGATGTTGATGAACAAATCTCGGTCTGACTCTCTGCGTCACTAGGTGATCTTTTGAAAGTACATTCTTTCCTGGTGCCTCTCAGTGGACTTGAACGTCCAAACTTTCAGTTAACCATTGGAACCATAAAGACACACCTCCACCTTTGGAATTCCTTCTGATAGGGGCATTCTGAGTAATAGCAGCCCTGGGAGGATGGCTTGTTGGCTTTTCTAGAAGCTAAGCATCAAGGAATCCAGATAAGCGTACTACAGGTGGAGCCTGGAAATAAGTGCCAGAACCAGTCATGTGTAACATTTTTATAACTGATCTGTCAGAAAGAACATGGTGACTGCATCTCTTGGTTTGGGGTGCTCTTACTACTGACTCATGGATGGTTAAGCCAGGCAGAACAAGTTGCCAGTTCTCGAAAACAGAACAAGTGCTAGTCAAGCTTGTTGCATCTGGAGAAAAGTGATCCCACTTGTAATTTTATGATGCCAACTAAAACCCAGAGCTCTGTTAAGAAGGCCAAGGAGCCCTGGTGGTATAGTAGTTATGAGCTGGGCTGTGATCTGCATGATCAATAGTTCGAAACCACCAGTCACTCCCTGGAAGCAAGAAACAAGGCTTTCTACTCCTGTAAAGAGTTACAGTCTCGAAAACTGACATGGGGAGGTTCAATCTTGCCCGTAGGGTTGCTCTGAGTCAGCATTGACTCCACTGGCAGTGAGTTTTTATTAGGAAGGCCATCTCAAGAAAATAGTAGCGTCCTCTAACCCTCACAGGAAACCCAAGACAATTCTCTATCCAAATAGCAATATTCAGGCTGGTTGTCATTTCTTGACACTTAGCAGTCTGTCCATTCTTCCTGAGTCCTTGCTATG